GTATAATGGTCATTTTATGTTAAAACTTGGTGAAAATGACGTTTTACGCAAGAAAATGCACAGGTAGGGACGTCCTGCACCAAAAAACCATACGTAGAGACGTTTTCCACACAACCCGTCATAGGTAGGGACGTTTTGCGCCAATTACCCTTTTCATTTTTATGGATGAAAAATGAGAAACAAACAGTGGCTAAATTTAAAATTTGTGCAATTTAAACGTATTATAAATAATAACTTAATATTACCGTATAAAAAAATACAGCTAAAATTAAAAAAACTTAAAAATAAAATAAAATATAATATAAAAGTAACTGCCTATAACGCAGGCAGCTGTAATTTTTTCATTTTTTTTAATTTTTTTAAAATACTGGGCTTACTGGCAGATGCGAGCCACGGGGCTAGCTCGGGCTCAAGTTGACGCCCCAAAATGAGGCTCGGCCTTGGCCTTGGCTCGGTCCCACTGAGCGACGAGCCGACTCAACTCGAGCTTTTTCCGAGTCAAGTTCTAGCCGTCAAGCCATTTTGTCATCTCTATGCGAACATATTAGTGTGTAGTCATCTACTTGGCCTCTCTATGGCCGTTGATCTCGATCTGAATAGTTGTGTATAAAAGCCTCCCAAACATCATTCTATTGGTTAAGTTATATCGTGTTGTGACTTGGGGTTTTCTTCATTCTCTCTCTGTGTGATCCTGGATCCTTCCTTCTTAGTGTTCAATATTTGTAAATTCTTTTAGTGAGATAGCTTTGGTTGTGATTAGTGTAGGGGTGTCAATTTCCCTCGTCAGCTCGGCCGGCCCATGGCTTGATCTCATTTTTGGACTTCTACTATTATTTAAAAAAAAAAAAGACTTGTTTATTTTTAGGTTATTTTATTACTTTTTTATAAAAAAATAAATAAAAATGAATCGGCTCAGCTCGACTTGTCTCATTTATGGGTGAGTAGTCAACACTGTCCTAGGGAGGGAAATTTTTATTAAGATAAAAAATTACCATTTTGAGAGTTGTTTCTTCAATTTTCATCTAAATATATTCTCTCAAGAGTCGATATTTTGTAATTGTGTATTCATTGTTATTATCGCTTTTATATGTATCGGATTTCTAGTTTTTTTTTTTTTAATTTAAATTAGCTGAAAAACTTCATATAAATCAAGAAAACATTTCATCCAGAGAAGGTGCGGAGCGATTTATTATTCACTGATATGTGCCGGCTCCAAATCTTTGTGACAAATTCTCGTGTCCATTCACTAAACATAACCCATCAAAAATTTCAGTATATTTTTGATGAAAAATTTTCGTCATTGATGGCGCTTTTTAACTACGGAATTTTATTTTTTTTTCATTGACAGCATTGTTTACACTTTTTTTTTATTGAAAGAGAAGTAGACAGTAACGAGGATGAAGATGTATTTATATAAAATAATAAACAATTAATCAAAGAATATTGAAATAAAAATTTTAAATCAATTTTGGACATAAAATGATGTTTAGTTAATCAACATATCTTAGTAATGGCATCAGTTTGATCATTTTCTGGGGAATATTTTTCTAAGCAGTGTTAATCAAGTCAATACCTGCCTATATAAATAATAGTTATAACACGACACCTGGGTAGTCGTTTTCATACGTATGCTAAAAAAACTCAGAATAAATTTGTTATAATTTTCCAGCCATTGATTTGTTGAACCACCACACAGCAATCAGCATCATCAGGGGACAAAAGTAAGAACACGACTTGACTTCCATATTTAAACTCTTGTTCGTGGCAATTTAAAATATAAATGAAGATTTATATGCATAAGAAATAAGTGGACGAGGTGAAAAGATATCGAGAAAGCCCGTAATCTAAGTTGGCGACATCTATTGCGGTTTGGAGGGGCGCCTGCCTAAGGTCGATCCGAGTAGTTGATCCTAAGATGATGCATATCAAAGATTTTCAGAGACCCCTAGTATTAGTATAACTTTTATTGACTTAAGAGCATTGTTCGAGTGTATAAAAAGTCTTACTGGAGTCCATTAACATAATGCGAGAAGGGTAAAAAGATCAAATAGCTAAAGCAAAAATGCAACATCGAACGAGGAATATTTTCTCGATAAATTTGAAATTGGCTACATAAATCACGTTGCGCCACTAGAAAAAATTAAAACAATAATAGCAAACTGAAAACATACACAAACCATTTTTCATTTATTTATTACAATCATACTTGCTTACAGCAGCACACAGACACACAGATTCACTCCAAACCAAAATTTACAACAGCAAAAGTTCACACGTGAGAAACAAACAAATTCAAGATGAATC